ATATTATTCTATAGTATTGATGGGCGAATGAGTACTTTACTTGGTGGTATAGAACATTCGGCCTCCCTTTCACTTTAATAATAGTGTTTTTCCTTTTAAATTCCTTTTGCTTTCAAGAAGCATTACTCTACAAACAAGCCTCTGTACTCTGTCCTCCACTTTCCACTTGCAATTGCAATCTTCTTTTTAATTTCGGTCTCTTAATTTATAACTTTATGTTCTCAAGAATGTTACAATAATAATACAAATAATGGTAAAAGGATATATAAAACTAAAATATTAAAATTATCTGAAAATCTTAAAATGTGAATGAGATTTCTTTAGATGCATTTGTTGATTTTTTTTTTCAATTTTTTTTCAATTTTTTTATTAAAATAATGTCATTTTTAACATTCAAATAGCGCGTTCAAAATGATATCGTTTTGGTATGACATCAATGTCAGCACCCCTCATTTATACCATCATGTCATTATCGAGTTAAAGGTATAATGATATAACTGAAATGAAAATGAAAGTTTAATGCTTTGATTAAAGTAACTAAACGCTTACTAATATAAATAATACAATACTTAAAGTACAATGGTATTTAGTGTAATTTTCTCTTAAATTTATATAAAATCACATCAAATGTCGGTGATTGCATAAGTTTAAAAAAGCCGCAAAGCATGTAATCAAAACCCAATCTCTATCTCTCTCCATTTGTTTTCTAATCCAACGCACAGGAGAGAACATTTCGAGGTTTCTTTCAGACAGCAATCACATGACCTTCCGATACCTCCACTAAAACAGCAACCTCCCACCAGATCTCTTGTATCCACCACGATCCGACGGTGCTGATTCCTCCACGTCTCCGTACTCCAACCCACTATTTAAATCTGGCCTTTTATTTCTCCTCCACATCCCCCGTCCTTTCCTGCACTCTTTTTTCATACATAAAAAAGAATCTTTTAAAAAAGCAACCGGCGCCGCCGCGACTCATCGCCTGTTCGCCGCCCTACGCTGTACACCGTACACCGTAAATCTAGAAGGTATAAGCTAAAAGAACAAATCTTCTTTATTTTTTTTTTCAAATCTCTGTTCTCGTTTATAGTTGGAGTTCGTTCATTAATGGTTTTGTTGACCTTAATTAGAGTTAGTTAATTAAATTTTGTTAGATTTCTACTTCGAAGTTGAACATTTTAAAGTGAAATTACCGTTAGATAATTTCCAAAGGAAGAACGGAGAAGTTTTTGGTTTGAAATCGGACGGTCAAGATGCCGAGCACGGTTCAGAAAGCGATCGGGGCCGTTAAAGACCAAACCAGCATAGGTCTAGCGAAGGTAGCAAACAACATGGCGCCGGACCTCGAGGTGGCGATTGTGAAAGCAACGAGCCACGACGATGACCCTGCCGGCGAGAAGTACATACGTGAGATCCTGAATTTGACCTCTTACTCGCGCGGGTACGTCCACGCCTGCGTCTCGGCGGTGTCGAAACGGTTAGGTAAAACTCGTAACTGGATCGTGGCGCTCAAAGCACTGGTGCTTGTTCATAGGCTGTTGAATGAGGGAGATCCGCTGTTTCAAGAAGAGATCTTGTATGCTACCAGGAGAGGTACGAGGTTGTTGAATATGTCAGATTTTAGAGATGAGGCTCACTCGAGTTCGTGGGATCACTCTGCTTTTATAAGAACTTATGCCATGTATTTGGATCAAAGACTTGAACTGATGCTTTTCGATAGGAAAAGCGGCGGTGGTAGTGGTGCTGGGGGAAGTAGCCACGGGGGTAATGATGATAGATATGGTGGACGAGATAATTTCCGATCATCACCACCGAGGCCATATGATGATAGATATGGTGGACGAGATGACTTCCGGTCTCCGCCACCGAGGACATACGAACATGAATATGGAGATTCCAGAGGTGACAATGGATATGGTAATTATGGTATGCCAAGGAGAACGAGGTCTTACGGTGATATGAGTGAGGCAGAAGGGAGAGATGGAAAAGAGGAGAAGAAAACAGTGACTCCATTGAGGGAGATGACTCCTGAGAGAATTTTCGGGAAGATGGGTCACTTGCAGAAGTTGTTAGATCGTTTCTTGTCATGTCGGCCTACAGGATTGGCAAAGAATAGTAGGATGATCTTGATAGCTTTATATCCGGTTGTGAGGGAGAGTTTTCAGTTATATGCGGACATTTGCGAGGTTTTGGCTGTGCTGCTTGATAGATTTTTTGATATGGAGTATCCAGATTGTGTGAAGGCATTCGATGCATATGCAAGTGCAGCAAAGCAGATCGACGAGTTAATTGCATTTTATAATTGGTGTAAGGATACAGGCCTGGCTAGATCATCAGAGTATCCTGAGGTGCAAAGGATTACCGGTAAGTTGTTGGAAACACTGGAGGAATTTGTGAGGGACAGAGCTAAGAGGACGAAGAGTCCGGAGAGGAAAGAGCTTCCTCCTCTGCCTAAAGAGGAAGAGCCGGCACCAGATATGAATGAAATAAAGGCCCTACCTGCTCCAGAAAGCTACACTCCACCGCCACCACCAGAGCCTGAACCCGTTAAAGCCCCGGAGCCGCAGGAGGATTTAGTGAACTTGAGGGACGATAATGTTACAGCTGATGATCAGGGGAACAAAATGGCTTTGGCTTTATTTAATGGCCCGTCTAATAACGGTAATGGATCATGGGAAGCTTTCCCATCGAATGGGCCTGAAGTGACATCGGCTTGGCAAAACCCTGCGGCTGAGCCAGGGAAGGAAGATTGGGAATTGGCTTTGGTTGAGACAGCTAGTAATTTGTCAAGGCAGAAGGCAGCTTTGGGTGGTGGCCTTGATCCATTATTGTTGAATGGCATGTATGATCAGGGAATAGTAAGGCAGCATGTTAATACTGCACAGTTGAGTGGGGGGAGTGTGAGTAGTGTGGCATTGCCAGTCCCGGGGAAGACCACGACACAAGTTTTAGCCCTTCCAGCACCTGATGGAACAGTTCAGGATGTCAATCAAGACCCGTTCGCCGCATCTTTGAGCGTTCCTCCTCCGTCTTATGTACAAATGGCCGACATGGAAAAGAAACAACATCTGCTTGTCCAGGAGCAGCAAATATGGCAGCAATATTCAAAGGATGGGATGCAAGGTCAAGCTAGTTTGGCCAAAATCAGTAACCCTGGATACTATGGACCTGGACCTATGCCAGTGATGCCTTACGGAATGCCACGGTCAACGGAATGGGACCACCAGCCGGGTATTACTATACTCCTCATTGATTTCTCCACATGTAAAATAGATAACATTTCTTGCCTACCTTTTGTATTATGATTTATAGTTTTCGTTCCCTTTTAATTGTTTCTTCTGTGATGATATGTTGTTCTGCAATATGTTCAAATATGTTCACAAAACACTTACTCGTTGTGGGGATTTTTTTGTGCTCGTGATCCGGTTGTTGTCTCTTTGTGCTTTGTAATATTAGAATTCTATTTACTTCTTATGTTTCATTGTGTGATCCTCTCCTTAATTCCATTGAACTGTCTGCCAACCCCAGTCTATCTCTGGTTATGGTTTCAACTTTTGAGCACCTCACTGTTAGGTCTCGTGTTGGTTTCAATTTAGTTGAAGTGACCAAAAGAGTAAAGTTTTTGATTTCCTTGCAATGTACCATACTGTTAGTAAGATTTGCTGGCTGGAGTTGAGGGGCCTTGATCGCATTAGGTGCCTATGCCTTCGGCCCCATTGACATGTAATAAACCAAATTGAATAGAATGTAAAATTGAGGGATTAAATTATAAATGGAGTAAATTTGTTGTTAAAAATAAGAATTGAAATTGCATAAATTACGAATCAAATCTAATCAAAAGATCAACTTAAAAAATGGATGAATTAGGGGTTTGAATCGAATTGAATGTAGGAAACTCAAGTCAAATTTTCAAATCCAATCAGATTTTAGGCCAAGAATCTGAAACCGAGAGCAAGGAGGAGGGCGTTTGAAAAAGGAGAATGAGTTGATGACCCACCTTTCGTCCACATGATTGGAAATAAAGACACTTTCTTAATCAAGAGATGGAATCCTGAATTGGTGTTAATGTTGGTTGGACTAGAAAGCAAATTATAAGTCAATAGAGACGTGGAATAAATGGATAATTTACTAATCCTCTCTTAATCTGGCATTGAAGATCAAGCTCAGCATCAGCTGTGCTTATATGTGTGTGGGTCCTTGGGGCCTAATGACCGGTGAGCCGTCCCACTACCTCTCCTGCCCCTTGGCTTCACAACTACTCTATTTTTTATATCACAATTTAAACCTCTTCTTGCATTGACCGTGTCTTTAATAAAGATTATTATTTGGTGCTTTATATAAATGGTTCGAAACTTGATATTATAAATATAAAAAACTGCACGACTGCAAGGGTGATTGACATTTATTGTCAAATGATTGAGAGTACTTATAACATATATTATTTTGTAATAATTTTTAGCTTAATTAAAGAAAAAAATGTAAAAAACTATATTCAAAGGGTTATTTTCACATTGATCATTTATATTATTCAATTCGAATGAATGAATTAATAGATTTGATTTTGGAACTAAAAAAAATTCAAAACATAACATCAATGTTGATTTTGAAAAAAATAATTAGATGATAAAAAAGACCAAAGTGATAATTGGGTGATTAAATATATATATATTTTACCCCAATTAAAATGAACACCATTTATTACGCCTCTTATCAATAAATAAGTATTATTTAGCTTAAAAAGTAGTATTTAGCTTAAAAAAGTATTATTTAAATAATTTAACTTATGTTGAGGGAGACGGATGAGGTTAGGGGAAGCAAACATGTGTATGAGTGGGGGGTACACTAAACTCATCAATCAAAACATTTAAATAAAAGAAATTATTGCACATGATAAAAACAACAGCAGCAGTCAAGTCCCTCTCTTTTACAGCTTATTTGTTGCTTCATGCTTTGTCTATTTGGCTCACTGCTCCAACAAACCAAAATCCAAAAGCATTTGTTTCCCTTTGAAGAAACCAGAAGCCTCTGTGTCAAAGAATTGATTGGAAGATGTCTAGACCTGGTCCAAGGCCTTATGTCTTTGAGAGAAAAGCTTGGCACAGTGATACTCACCAACCCATGAGAGGTTCTCTTGTTCAAGAAATCTTCAGGTTTTTCCTCCTCCTTTCATCTTAATGTATTTCTATCTCTGTAGATTTCTTTGTTTTGTCACTGTTTTATGTAATGTGATGTTGTTTTAGAGTTGTGAATGAAATTCATAGCTCATCAACTAAGAAGAACAAGGAATGGCAAGAGAAGCTCCCTGTTGTGGTCTTGAAAGCTGAAGAAATCATGTATTCAAAAGCAAATTCTGACGTAAAAATGTGAACTTTTGAGTCTTTGATCACTGTATTTGCTGTTGTTTTTGCCATTTGATGTGTTGAATATCCAGACCTTGATGAAAAAAAAGTTTGCATAGGGTGAGTACATGGACCTTAAAACCCTCTGGGATCGAACAAACGATGCTGTTAACACAATCATTAGACGAGATGAGAGTACTGAAACTGGAAAACTTCTTCAACCTTGTATTGAAGGTACCCTTTCATTTCTGTTTGAATTTTAGCTGAAATTTGCATATTTGCAATTTGGGTCTTTCTGGGATTTTTTCTGCATAATTATGAACACCACTAATGGTTTATATGTTCTTTTGTTGGTGTTTTTGGTTAGCTGCTCTTAATCTAGGATGCACACCAAGAAGAACCTTGAGGAGCCAACGAAATTGTAGTCCAAGGTGTTACCTTAACTTGGCTACTCAAGGAAATCTCATGGCTAACTCACATTGCTTGGCTAGCCTTACGAAACCGCATCCACAAATGTGATTCGATGGAGCTTTGAATCTCCAAAATACACTGACCGGGACGATTATTACACCGGTTTGCATATGAGATTGGTTCTCTTCCTAATAATAACCAATGCTCACCTTTAGAAAAGTATTCAGTTTATCCTCTTTACTATAGCAACGATCTTAAATCTGAAGAACTGTGGCATGGTTTCGGGATCTTCTATAAGTCGATTTCTAACACAGTCGAGCCTGCTAAGATGTGTGTCAGTCATAAGCTTCTTTCTTTTGATGTGGACTTCTCAAATAAAATGAACCAAATAGGTGTTAGAAGTTCTTATAACAAACCATACCCCGGCATCACCTGTGATCTATCGTTGCGGTTGGGCCCTCTTTCAACACCTTGCTTTGGAGACGGTCGGACTCAAGAAACCGATTCCATAATTGCAGAGTGGAACTGGTCCCCTGCAATTGGTAAAATATTATCTTCCTTTCATAAGAGCAACAAACCTATATTTAAATTCAATTCAAATTATTTTCAATGAGATCATAACCCACCATTAATTTCGTGAGTTAAAGTCATATAATATAACAAATGTTTATCGTTTAGAGTTTAGAGTTTAGAATTCAATTATATGTGTGTGCATGCGCACACCTAGAGTTTTTTAAGATAGATATGCGTTTTACATCATTCTTGAATACTATAATTGATTATAATGATTTTTTTGTATTTATAGTTTTATATGTTAAAAGTTTTTAAAATAAATTTATGTGTTTATTTTTCTAATTTATGAATCGATTATTTGTTATTATCTATCGTATGATGAAAATTTGAATCTCAATTATGATTTCCTTTGTGTACTACTTCCGTTTCGATTTGAGAAGTGTCAAACAAGGTTATTCATTTACTCTTGTAGTTGTATCATGGATGTGTAGGTGAAAATCTTTATTGCATCAAAGCACTAAATTGCTTTGGACTTTAAGACTGTCTCATTCAATCCACAGACAAACCTCATATGATTCCCTTTGGTTAAATTCTGATTTTGGTCCCTCTATGATGTTTACACTCTATAACATATATGTTTTCCGATGTCACAAGCATTCGACTTTTGATTTGCTCATATTTTAGTCACTCCGTAGTTAAACACTTAATGGCGTTATGATTGGACATTTTTATTTTAAAAATCATGGAATTGCCTTACTTTTTTTTGGGGGAAAAGCCCATTGATTTCATATTTCACTTTGATTTCTTGATGACGAAATATCTTCTTTCAAATCTCAACGGAGAGGTAGGGTAGGAGAAGTGAGTTATATATCTTGATTCTATGTTGACTGAAAGATAAATATTGAATATCTTAGTGGTTTAGGGTTTAGGTTGAATTTCATAAGTTTTAAAGCGATTTTGAGAAAATCTAAACAAATAGAGTGGTAAGAGACAATAAGGTGAGTTAATCAGTGTCTTGATTGGTCAGAGAAGATATTGGAGAATATTGATTTTAGTGTCATAGATATGAAACTATAAAACTTTCATCTTTAGAGGTAGAAGATAAAATTAAAAAAAATGAAAAATGACTTGGAAGACATGTGGATGCCATGTCAATAAAAGTCAGTCCACATGAGCATTTATGGTTACTATGTCACCCTTCCATTTCTTATTTAACACCTAAGTGACCAAAATAGGAGTGAATCGAAAGTTTTGTGAATAATTTTTTTTAAGAAAATATACCTTAGTGACCAAAATAGAATTGAGAAGAAACCTGAGTGATGAAATTTGCAATTTTAAGATATGTTTTTCTTAAAACATTTGTTTCTACTCATTTGAGTTAGAAGCATGGACTAAATTATAAATTGATGCTTAATAGAGTAACCATAACCGTAATTTGATAATTTTGTTTCTAATTCCTTCCCATTATTTAATCCCCTCTTCAAAAATTACACACCATAGCTTCTATATTTATGATCTCTGAACTTCTCTTAAGTGTTTGTTTCCCAGGAAAAACATGGTACAATCAAAGAAATTCAGAGGAGTCCGCCAGCGTCAGTGGGGCTCTTGGGTTTCTGAAATTCGCCACCCTTTACTGTAAACTCACCCACTCTCATTCTCCAACATTAATATATATATATCTACGAGTTTTAATTGTGTTTGATATTGGTGCAGGAAAAGAAGGGTATGGTTAGGCACATTTGAGACAGCTGAGGCGGCGGCAAGAGCATACGACCAGGCGGCGATTTTGTTGAACGGGCGAATTGCCAAGATCAATTTTCCAGTATCCGACGATGGTGACAGTGGTGGTGGTGATGGCTCTCTTCCGGATAAGGCTTTGTCCGAGCTTTTGAGTGCTAAGCTAAGGAAGTGTTGCAAAGACCAATCTCCTTCTCTAACTTGTCTCAGGCTCGACACTGATAATGCTCATATTGGGGTGTGGCAAAAACGGGCAGGCACTCGTTCGAGCTCCAGTTGGGTCATGAGGGTCGAGCTGGGGGATAAGAAGACACCGGCGGAAGACGGATCGTTGGAGCTGTTTTCGCCGATGACCGACGAGAGCGAAGCCGGTGGAAGTGCAGTGGGAGAAGATGATAGGATTGCCATGCAGATGATTGAGGAATTACTTAATTGGAATTGTCCCATGAATTCAGCCTCAGTTGGAGTTTAGAATATATATATATATATATATATACATATATACTTAGAATATCATGTATACTCTCTTCTATAAAATCATTCATGTTCTATCCTCACATGTAAAACTAGCTCAATACATGCTTGTATAACGGATCCATAAATATTTTTAATGATTTATATATTTATGGAGATTTTTTTATATAGAACTTGCTAATTTTATTAAAAAAATAAAATATTTATAATTACAATAAAGGTTTACAATCATAAACGTAAATTAAATACATAATTAAAACATTTTCTTGTGACTATTAGCATTAAAACTAATCATTTAAGATCACACGAGGACTATAAAAAGAAAATGGTAAAAACCTAATAAAAAAGTTCGAACAAAAGATGAATACAAATATATCTGACTACATCTACAAACGAACCATAAAAGGAGATTAAGCTAATGAAAGATCGCAACAAATCGCAAATCAAAGTCGAGCGACGTGAAACAACTATTCATGAACGCAAATTGCATATCTAAATCTAATATGAGAGTCAAAAGTAGGGTAGATTAACATATAACAAATAAGTGTCATCTTGATCAGTCATGGTGATGCCAAATCCAACACTGAGAAAAAAAATAAACTAAAATAACAGTCAAACGACCGAAAATTTACTATAAAAATAAATAAAAACGTGTCATAAAGGTAGAATCATTAAAAAACTTAAAAAATAAAGAAAAAAAACTTGATATAAAAAATTAAAAAAAAAAAGAAAGAAATTTATACTTTAAAATAAACTTGTTTATCTAAATAAAAAATGGACCCGTCACTAAATATAACAGTGAAATTTATGACATGAAAATAAATATAAATACGTATATAAGCTTATACCTATATCATGTTGATCTCTCACCAATATTGTATTCCCCAGTTAGCGTTATATATGTATGTACGCATAACTATTTCAAATGAATCATACATGTGTGAAGTCAAGTTCTCCTTGTGCCCTACGTCTTTGCTGCTAATAGATGTTTGTCGTATATATTTAACGACATGGTCCCCATAAGTTCATAACATGATCAATATGTTTCTTTTATGATGCTTATAATCTTTCTAAATATTTACATATAAAGTTAATATATGTTAAAGTATATTCTTATCAATTATTTATTATGTGAATAAAGCGATCTCGATGTTTGGAGGGTTGTATAAGTGTTTATAGTCAAATGATTGAATATCTTTTGAAGTAATACTACCTTGTATTCATTGGCTTTCTCGCCTATATAGTTGTAAGAAAAATGATTTTCCTATATAAGGAATCCGCCATATTATTTTCTGAACTAGAGTCATTGTTACATTGTCAATGGAAAGACGCCAGGATTTCCATGCAACTTCATTTGTTCCGGTAGAATCCGCATGGATTGCTATGCATCTTTAGCTTTGTAGAGCTAAATAAAATGGTGAAGAGGTTGTACAATTCTACGGTCTTTTGATGACGCGTGGAATACCCAGTGTCTTCGTTTGGTTACTGTAGCATTCACCCTATATTAGGAAATAATCTTTGAATTGGATTATTTTGAGAATTCTTTTTCCCAAAATCATTTTCTAAGCCATTTTGATTGTATTCACTCCAATCTAATAAAAAGATTTTAAAAAACAATTACTTATTAAATATTTAATTTTACGTGAACAAATATTTTCTAATAAAAAATAGATATAAATTTTGTTGAAAGCTAAGTGCATGAGTAATGACCTAGTTAAAGCATAGATGGAAAGATAATTGAGATTTTATTTCATTTTCAAATGAGAATGATGTTTTATTTTATATAATTAAATGATGTTTATTTTAAAACAATGGCAGGTTTAATATAAAAATTGGTCATGTCTAAAAGAGGAGTGAGCAACTAACGGGTTAGTTCAAGTGGTAAATAACTTGATATCGCTTAAACAAATTTCAAGTTCAAATCTTTATGTATGTATAACATTTTCGTAGAGAAACTAATCTACCAAAATTAAATATACGATACAGTCCGAGTTAATAAAGGAAAAGCCATGAAAACCGGGAGGAAAAAAAAGGAGTGAGCAGTTGGAAGAGAGTAAATGCAGTTCGTAGAATGGGAGTGAGATTGCATGTGATTCCATGTCAATAATAATAAGAAAGTGAGAGTTTTTACGTATTTGGTTAATTAGCTGCACATGCTGATATCTTCTTCTTCTTATGAATGAGAAAAAATAGGAATTGTGATAATTACATTATTCGAACATATGTAAGATCATAATATTTTTTTAGTTGTAGAAATTATTTTTTAAACTATCATGAAATATTAGTTGAGATATTCAGAATTATCGAATTATTTATTATCATATTTATCTTTTTCTAAATGAGATATTCAATATTACCGAAGTTAAAAATAAATAAAAATTCAGCGTAATTTGACAATATGAACTAATATAATTCCTACCAACTTTGTGTAGTTAATGTAATGTTTTAGGTAACACTTTACTGGATATAATAGCAAATTAAGTGTTCAATAATAATATTTTTAGTAGAAATAATAATATTTTAGTTAATTTTTTATCGAAAATTGTAACACCCCAACCCGTATCCGACCCGAATACGAGTCCAAGATGTCACATTGACTTTTAAAAACAATATTCGTACAAAATATCAAAACATTTGAACTCATTTTTAAAAAAATACGATAATATATTGTTCAATTATGTTTGGTATAACATTTTGAGGTAAAAACGTATTTATGAACAATAACATGCTACAGTACCGTGAATGTTAAAATTTCCAGATTGTAATAGGGGAACCGATCCCACTGCTACAGGGAATCGATACCATGCTACAGTGCTGCTACAGTACTTCGGTAAAAATACGTATAAATTTATAAAAATCATAGTTTTCATTCGTATAAAATTTTCATTTACATATACACCTTTAAAACATTACAAAATTCAATCATATGATTTTAAAAAACCGATTAAAACATATCTGATTCAAATCTTTTATATTATTACATGCCAACTAAATTCTTTATAACAAAATACATGTAATTCGATTTACATTTCTGATCTGATCTTAGATAATGAGAACTGACTTGTCTTGTTCCTCTTTACTTCTCTTTTCGCTTTCCAAACCTACATGTGACATATTTCATCATATTTCTATTCATATATCAAATCCACACATGTACATATATAATTATCTTCTTCCTTGTAATTATCCTATTATTATCATTAATACATTTTATCATATTATCATATACTTATCATTTATACCTATCGTATATCATTTCATAAAGAAATACACTTAACTTCATATAATTCATGTAATACAGTTCATATAACTAAAAACATATATCCTTTCATATAACCAATACATGAATCATGTAATTTATTTCATATAACAAATCACATATATATATCACATTCAGTATATTTATTTAATTTCTTTATTAGCCCATGTACACTGTTGAGAACTGAAGGTATGTGAGTACATTGAGGTTGTGCACTAATGCTGTCACCACAGCTTGTATAAGTCTCACTGAGTGGCATATGAAATTTGTCCCGAAGGACCACTGTATTGTCCCGAATGACCTATGAAACCCTCGACTCTCGGCATGCCAACTACACCTATAGCTCTCGTATCATATAACATGGGCATTATCATTTGTTCATTTCATATCACTTGTTCTTTCTCTTCTCTGTCACATACCACATGTATGTGTAAACATCTATCTCATATCATTTAACATGTATCACGGGTGCATGTAATTATGTATTACATGTAATCATGTAGATCATTTCATATGGTTATATCATTTCTCATTTATTCATGTACGTATGTCATATCTTGTCCACATATGTTCATATATATATGTCACATATACTTTGAATCATCTTTTTCATATACTCATATAATTCTTTCCTATAGTTCATATTTTATTTTCACATATAGCATATCACATAGCACATATAAGCACATATCAGTTCATATAATCAAGTATACATACATTTCATGTCATTCACATCCTTATAATCAATACTCCATACACTATAACTATTGGAAATAGACTTATCACAAGTCCAATTCCTTATAATCCTATAAACTAAAATGCACTCATAAGAATCATATCAATCATATAATATTTTAGGAGTCACTTATTACCATAATAACTCCATCACTGGCTCATCGCAAGCCAATGTTTTTCGATAGCATAAGTACAATTAAATTGCACTCACCTTAGCCTTGCTTTGATTCGATCATAATCCTTTGATTATTCCGGAACTTGTTTAGGCTCAATATCTACATAAATGTAACATTTCAAAACAATTATCAGAAGCCTAAACATTATACTTGATGTTAATAACTTAAGCCCAAAATTCCATATTTTTTTCTTTTAGGGGGAATCGATACCCCCCAGGGGGAATCTGTACCCGCTGCACAATCTGGAATTTTCATTCAAGCCCAGAAAATCATTGTTCATGCCTGAAAATTTACTATAAACTTAAATTCTTCATGTTTCATTCACTTTTCTATTCTTAACTCAAATATACATACTTAAACTAATTTATATCCATTTATTTCATCTTAAACCTTAAAATTCTATTCTACATATAGAAATCAATAATCATACCAAATTTTCCATGTTATCCAAACTTAATTCTAACACTTCTAACTTCTTATTCTCATAGATGACAAGTCAAATTCAACTTATCAATTTTATTTTAAGATTTCATTCAAGAACTCAAAATCTTTAATCTCTCATATACATTTCATCTTGTTGTTTTATAACAAATTAAGCTTTCCTTATGCTTAATTATCATCTAATGATCAAAACCCAACCTTTAATTCAACAAATAATCAACTAAGTATGAAACTCACCTTTGCTTGTATGCTCCACGGTGGAGAAGAGATGAAGATGAAGAAGATGAGAGAAAATGAATTTCACGTGGGTTTCCCTTATCTTATAAGGGAAATAAAAATCTTTCTTGTCAAATGACCATTTTGCCCTTTAATTTTCTTAATAATTACTATAAACTCTTAGGAAATATCTACACATAA